CATCTAAAGGTTGCAGGACAAAGATCTTCAAGAGTTGGATTTGAAGGGTCCTAATCGAGGTAAAGAGTGATGGACGAGATACCCAACAACCAAAGTTTGTTAAATTGCAGCGTTAGAAAATTAGACTGGAAAAGAAAATGATGGCTTTGTATAATAAAGCGAATGCTAACTTTGTAAAGACATTGCATTAGTATTCTTTTCCACATTTGATCAGAATGCAACCATAAACATCTGTGAAATAAAACAAAACAGTGAGAACTACCTATGTTATCGTGAATGATAAATGTTTTTCAAATTTTCTGTTTTCAATATTCTAAATTGGATTGAGGTCTGGACTTTGACTGGACCACTCAAACACATGAATTTGCTACGAGCTAAACCGTTCTGTCTGAAAGTTTGGAGCCAGTTTAGAGATATTTTGACGCCTGGTAACATGTTTTTGTCGCCCATTCATTACCATCAGCTTCCCGTCTCTTTCTAAAAGACAACGTACCCACAGCACGATGATGCCACCACCGTTTATCACCATGGATTGTGTCTTTATCACAAAGTGCTGTGCATTAACTATGTTTTGAGCTCATCCTTCCAGAGCACCTTGCTTTGAACTCCACCGCTTGCTTTCTTTCTAACAAAACTAAAAGTTATCCCATACTAAAAAGTATAATTTTTTGGGGTAATTTTTGATTATTGGCTGATAACACCCAAAAAAAACTGTCTGGGGTTTTTTTCAACTGTTTTAGGGTCATTTTGATGAGCCGAATCAAAAAAATCACATTGGTTTCGCTATCAGGTCAACTTTCTGAAGCAACATGAGCATCAAAATGCAGGACTTGTTCTCACATCTGGAGAATCTGGGATCAATGAGTGTGATGAGCAGGATTAGAGACTCCATCAGGACAGAATACAGACGGAGAATTTAGCAACATGAAGACGTAACTTTTAATTCACATGAACTTACCCTTATCAGTGTTTATTCAATTTACAGAAATCCAAGTTTGCAACATTAAATTAATGAACTCTGTTAGAAAACTTTTTTTTTCTCCTATAACTTTTTATGGATGAGAAATGAACTGACAGAGTCACAAAATTGTCATCAATTTAGTCAGAAGATTGTATTTCTCCAAATCAAATTAGAATGAAAACCTGACCTGATTGAGAAAAATGGATGTCATTTTTTGATTCAGCGCTGCAAAATAGTCCTAATTCAGTTGAAAAAAACATAGACAATTTCCAAAAAATATTTTTTGTAACCCAGTGTCTTTGGCCAAATGACCAAGAACACTTGGATACGAAGGTGCATCCAAGAACAGCTAAGCCCTTAAGAGTAGAGATGGATTCACGAACAGTGTAAGTAGAAGTAGAAGTATCGCAAATATTTTTCTATACACAGCTGAATGGGTTTTTTTTTTTTTATGTAGTCATCAATTTAGACAAATACCTGACAACACTCCTGTATGTTAGCTCAGGTTAGACAGATAAGATGAAAAACATACAATATTGAATTTAATAAGATGAGATGCTAGGTTAGCTAGCTCAGCTCCAGGTTGGGCCAAAGGGCTAGCTGGGATCAAATGTGCTGCCTCAGGCTGCCCGTCGGCTGCTCGCAAACTCATGAAAATGCACCTCACATGGTCATGCAGTCCAGCGGTTCTGAGCTACAAGCCTGGCTCCACCAACATATCGCCGAAAACAATGGAAGAGGCATTACCAGCCTGTCTGATTCAACCTGTATGCAAGAATGAGCTTTTCCTTCTCGGGTGCAGATTTTTATCAGCTGCTAACATTATTTTTTTGTCAAATATTTTCATTTTCAAAACCAAAAAGGAAAACTCTGATCTAGTGTGAGTTTTCTTGTCAGCTTCATATCAGGTTCTGGTTTAGCCACTTTCCTCACTCACATAGCTAACTGAGACATTTCCCTGATATTTATGACCAGGTTGTTAATTAAAACGCTAATTAATACCTGCAGAGCTTAAGCACAGTAGCTACGTCTCCTACATCATCCCTGTCTCTGGATTAATAGCTCCCATTTTTTTGACCTGCTTAAAAAATACAACAAATCCCGACGTCATTAAATATATTTATATGTATATTTTACTCAAACACAAAGAAGCAAGATACTTGTATTATGAAAACTGCATCACTTGAATGTGCCTAACCTTCCTGGAATATTTTCTTATACCGCCCCATGTAGCAGAGTAACGTATTCCCCTGTGAGATTTATGATTAAAAAAATAATTAAGGGAATTAATATATTAAAGTTAATTTATATGCCTTTGTTAACAATAGGATTTCACTTTGGGGCATCTATTACCTTTATAATTGCATTATAGGGTAAGGGAAGGATAATTAATGTGCTTTAACAAGGCTCTGTCTGTTATCTCAGTGTTAGGGAGTTGATGTTTCACCAGGTAATTAACTGTTAGAAGAATTAAGGGACCTATATCAGCGAGGTGTTTAAAATTACAGCCAGAGGAGTCGCAGCCGTTTCAGATGTTAGGAAACTATTTTTGGGGGTATCTTGATAGCTGTGACGGCGTGGCAGAATAATCATAGACACACAAACCGCACACACATTGGTAATACCCTTCTATAGGACACAAAAAGAGGGATTTGTGTCACTGAGCTCAATCAGATTTTCAAATTTATTGATACTCTCATTGAACAAACAGCAGAGAAAATGGTAAAAATAGTAATCCCAACAATACGGACGGATTTTGAGGGTTTTTTTTAACATCACTAATTAGAATGTATCATGACAATAATTAATAATTAATAATTAAACCTCAACTCTAGTGGTCATGTTGTTTGATTTTATTTGAATTTACAGAACCAATATGAAAGAAGTATAGTCTCACTCAAATCTGACTTATATGTATGTATATATATATATGTGTGTGTGTGCGTGTGTGTGTGCGTGTGCGCGCGCGTGAGTGTGTTAGTGTAGGAAATTGTTTCAAGGCCAATTTTATGATGACAAATTTAAAGAGAAAACAACATTCACAAACAAAATTTCACAAGATAAAAAAAAAATCTGCTATAAATTCCTTGTCAAAAAATAATCTGATTTCAATGAGACAGTGATTGTGTTGCCATTAACCATATAACTGCACAAATTAGAATTACGAAAATAAATGCTAATTTTGCCTAATTTGCCTAATTTTGGGAAAGAAAAAAAAAACAAGCACCGGTGGGGTAGTTTTTTTTTTGTTTTTAGCTTTCTCAAAACTGCAATCGAAACTTTTTCCGCATCACCCGAGTCACGTGATGAACAACCAGACGTTCCCACTGACGGAAAAGACGAAGATGACGACAGGAAGTGGTAAGAGGACAATGACTCTACATGTTTTTTAATGGCATTGAACACGCTCACGTGTGATTTTGATTGTATTTCGTATTTAATGGAATCATCGCAATTGGCGTATACGGCCATTGTACACAGAAAAAAAGTACATTTTCGCCAAAAAAAAATATGTTCATATTAATCGTAGAAATGTTCTAGGAAAAACCTGGAAATTTCTGAGTTTAAAAAGTAAAAAAATTACTCTAAAAAAAAAACAACTTAGAAATTTTCAGAAAATAAAACAGTTATCTCTCAAAACATAAAAAACAAGGCATACAATAAATAAATAAGTAAATAAAATAATGTATCTAGTTTAATTTACGTTTCGTTTTTAAAAAAACCCCACCTTGGCAGAAATTATGTGCTTCTCAATAATGAGTGTAAATGGATTTTTTTCTTTCTATAATTCTTGACCATTTATTTATTTATTTTGAATGTTTCTATAATCCAGTTTTGGTGATGAGCTCAATCAATAGCGTCTCTACAGATTCTCCATCAGAATCCTGTTGGGGTCAAAGTCCAATATGGAAACAGACCAACAAATTTATTGGTTTGACGCTCCCTTCACCGCTGTTTCACTCAGTTCCACCAGGGAGCGCTGTCACAGCTGGGTTAACAAACTCGTCAAAAACAGACACGTTTCATCACAATGTCACAATTTTTCTTTACAGAAGATAGGTGCATGTTCGATGTAGCCTTCAAAGGGAAAACAATAAATACATTTTTTTCTCAACAGGAGCCTGATGGAGATGGAAACATGATGGTGTTGAGCATGAAAGAAGAATGATTAGATCAGCAAATATCTCCACCAACAGCCCTGTGTTGTCATATTTCAGCCATGTTTTCTTCTTCTTCCCAGATTCAGACATCGGATGTGTTTGATAAGATTTATCTGAGGGGCCTCTTCCACAGATGGGGATTCAGCTGGTCCCACCATGTCTTCTGACTAAGAAAGCCTTTCCTCGTGTTTAGGAAGGGAACACGAGGTGTGTGTGTGTGTGTGTGTGTGTGTGTGTGTGTGTGTGTGTGTGTGTGTGTGTGTGTGTGTGTGTGATTGTGGCCAGCTGACAGACAGATGCAACCGGGTTGCTGGAGGAGCATGAAAAGAGCCGCTCATAAAGTTTTATGACTTCATGCAAATGAAGAGCGAGTCATTTTTTGACCCTTATCAGTTTTACATTTTGTCCCATTTTAACTTCAAACTTCAAAAGTATTTCATTGGGCTGCAACTGACAATTATTTTAGTAAATCAATTATTATATAATTTGGACAATTTATCAGAATTTTTCGCAGATTTTTTAAGCCTTTATGCCTTTTTTAAATATAATATATTAAGAATATATTTGTTGAAAATCTGGTAAAACTTTGAAACTGATGTCCAGTCTGACTTTTTTTGCAAAGCAGAAATGATGCCAGAATTCAGTATAGAAATAATAATAATACATCAGACTTATATTAGGACATGTGGACAACCACAGTAGATTTGCAACCGCACTGAAAGATGGTTCTACAAAGATATTATCTCTGCTTAAAAAAATTGGAAAATGCACCACAGATTCGTGTCCTGAATAAGTTTTCAAGTGAATGCAGTGTTTGTGATGTCGTCTTCCTACACTTTGCCTTAAACTAGTAGAAATCATTTAACACAACACAAAAATCCTCTCAAAAAACTAATTTAATCAAAACAAAATGATTCTTTAACAAGTTTATAAAACAGTGATTTAGTTACATAAATAAATTGATCAGTGTATCAAATCTTCATATTCATGAGCATGTTGACATGGTCGTACAATCATTTACTTGACGTAATAAATAAAAAAAATAATAAAAAAAAGGGAACAATATTCGCTTCTAAACGAAGGCGCTACAAAACAGACGACACCGGAAACAGATGAGATGAGCTTCTTAAAGCAACACGGCACCGAGCCAGTCCAGCTACAAATCAAACAGTCTGTAACACAAGTCCGTTGGCCGAGGAAAACAGTTTGGTACTGCCAGACCACTCCACATTTGGTTCGTTTAAAGCATTAAGACAAGGCGAGATACAAGGCTGTTCCTGTGAGGGGCGGATACAAGAGAGAAAGGGAAAAAAGCGGTTCAGGTGAGAAGAAGCGCAGAAATGAAAGCAGAGGGACAATCGAGAACCACCGCAGAGAGCAACTTTCTGTCCAGCACAAAGTCGAGGTGAGAGAAGAGGCGTGAACCGAGGCGAGCGGAGGCCGCTTTGCCTCCACAGGCCTCTCTCTGTCTGACTTCAGAAATCCTCAATGTGCCTCTGTGTTCGGGAGAACTGTTCCCGCCCCGCGTTCCCGCAGCTCAGTCCGTGTCTGCGCGGCGGAGCGGGCGGCGCGTCGCAAATATCTGACGCAACGCGAGCCCGACGTCAAGTCGCACTGATATGTTTCTCTCTTTTTTTTCTTGTCATTTCGAGAAACAAAACAAAGCAAAAGAAATAATAAATCCAAAGTAATGCAGCTTCAAGTATTGTGCCTTACGTAGAATATTTTGTCATAAATTAGTTAATGTACATGTTTTTTTTCTTCCAATAATCAGCTTTCATATATACAGGACACATAAAATGCTTATGTTCTCTTTTTCTGTCTGCTTTTGGAGAGAAATCCCTGAGAATGTAGTTTGACAGCTTCCGCGTGAGCGAGCGAGCGTCGACACCATGGCGACCGATGTGTTCAAGTGAGCAGTCTGAACGTAGGACGCGCCGTGAAGCGGGGGAGAAAAGGCGGCAAGATGAACTCCGATTCGGCATTTTCTCATTATTTCCTCATGGAGGGGGGAAGTAAAGGAGTAAAGCTGGATTTTTTTTTTTTAAACAAGAGGTACTGTCATTTCAGATGGAGTTGCACCATTTGGTTTAAAGCCGTTCCTCTCTTTTTGAGGCCGTTAGATGAGGGGAGTCAGAGGAGTGCAAAGGCAGACGTTTCAGCAGCTCTCACTTTCACATAAAGGGAAAGAACAGAACATCCAGGTACCACTGATACTTCTTCAAAAACTTCAGCTTCTTACACGTCTACACCAGGGATCAGATGCAGAAACGCTGTGTGTACTAAAGCTATCTCTACACCTTTTCATATGGTTGAAATGTCACCAACATCGAATCAAAATTGTTCAGTTTTAGGTCAAATATTGAAATTGAGTAATCCACAAATTTAGATTTGGATGTTTTTACATCTAAATGTGCTCATCACTTTTTACGCCAGGGAGATGCTGGCTGGTAATTTTCAGTGGTGGACACCGCTAGCTAAAAAGTTAGTTGTGCTAACCCTAAAACATTAGTTCCACTGCTGCTAATCCACTATACCAACATGGTATTTAGCAGTAGCCAATGCTAATCCACTTAAGCGATAAATTCAACCATGTTGATACACACCAGGTGTTAGTAACACCTGTCAGGAGAGGAAACAGACCTGCTGTATAAACAGTCTTCACTTGTTTCAAAATAAGAGCATGAATATAAATGTTAATAACCAAAACTTCAACATAGATGTTAAACTTTATTCAAAACTTTAAAGTTTGCACAACAGCCAATTAAATTGGTGCTTTAGAACTGGACCAGAAAAATGTATTAAGGGAAAGTTAAGTGCGCTAAACTTTTTCAAAGTTAGCAAAAAATGCTAAAGGATTAAACCAAAAAATTAGCTTCACAATTAGCAAACTGGTTGGCAGACTGGTATTTTTCATGATTTTGTTGACAAGTCCGGAATATACAAAGCTAAATTTGCATAATTTTCTACTGAGAAAACTCCTCTGAGATGCTTTATTCTTACAAAGCTCCAGTCAAAGCTAGAACAAATTATTCTCAGTTTATAAACTGGGATTCTGATTCTCTTGTGTTGAGTGGGTGCACTCAAAACCAAACTAAATAACATTCGACCTTACAAAAATGTTAATTCCTTGCATTTCCCTTAAACCGTATTGTCCTCAATGAACAAAACTCGGCAAAAAAGTTAGAGGTCTTCAGTATTGGCAAGGTGTTTAAATATTTTCATTCATGCTCCCGTGCTAGCTCATCCCAGTGACATCAGTGTTTTGACAAAGATTAATGGGAATCACAGGGATGCACTGATTAAAAAAAAAAATGAGCCGATATCTGATATTAATACTGCCGTCATGGGCGATACAAAATACTTATATATAATACAAATATTTTCCTCCACTTTCGACATCATGTTAAAGTTACCACGTCACCTATATTGTTTCTCTGCTTCACTTAAATACCTATAATCCTGCGCTGCATCCTTATCACTGTCGCATGACCAAGCAAATGCCACACGACTAACCTCCTCTGCTCTCCTCCCAGAAACACAAACGGGACGGAAATAATCATCAGTTAACATCGGTCCACTTTTAATTATCGGACCAATACCGATATGTTCAAAAATTACTAACATGGGCCGATATCAATGTTATTGCCAATATATCGTGGATCGCTACAGGAAAACTCATAAACTAAGTCTTAGGCAGGTAAACTTTGCCTTTAATGAGTTTAACACTGCCGAAAGTTGCTACAAAGTAGCTATACTGTCATTTATTATTTTGTAACTACCCTGGAAGGAGGAAGGTAATATTTTTACTACCCATTAACACACAGTTTCATACATCTGCCCCTTGGTGTTGCTTTAAGGTTGTTACTGATTGAAAATTCCTGTTTTATCTTCATTACTTTCGGTTGTTTCGATGCCAAAATGTCTCGTCTTGTGCTCAGTACATTTTAACATCCTAGTTTTTTTTTTTTGGCCTCAAGACCTTGTTCCTTATACTAGAGTCCTGAATCAGAGCAGTAAGAATCCCATGAAAATTTTCCCAGGACGAAATTCGGTCATTCAACCAAACCTCTCTCGCACGAGCATCATGAGCTTCTTTTTGCCCTTGTAGATCTGTTTCAGGTTGTCTATGAACTGCGTGAACTGGATGTGTCCGTCGTGCGCCATCAGAAACGTCTCCCTGGCCTTGCTGAGGAACTCGATGAACTCGCTGTAGTGGCGCGGGCTGATGTGCGTCAGCCGAGAGTGCGTTGTGTTGATGTAGGCCCCGATGGTGGCGTCCAACAGCTGCCTGAGCGGAGCCTTGTCCAAAGACATCAGCTTCCCAGAGTTCCTGCGGCTGTGCAGCGCCACCATGCCCGGCGTCGTCAGCGTGCACCGCCTCAAGATGTCCGACAACACGGTGGCGCACTTCACGCTCTTCACCACCAGGGGGATGACGGCTGCCAGCTCATTCTTCCCCAGCGAGTGGCTAAGGGCGCATGCCCAGAGCACGTCGTTGATGGCCGGGTGCGTGTCCTGGTTGTAACTGAGGTTAAGGTGCGTCATGGCTAACGTTGCTAGTTTGTACGCCCTCATGGGATAGCCGCGGTGCTCCATGTAGCGTGCTATTGTAAACAGCTGGGTGTAGTTCATTCCTGTGGCGGCTGCGTCCAGTACAATCTGGTAGGCTGTCTCGAAGGCAATGTGGTCCTTCTCGCAGAGCGTCAGGGCGGACAGGGCACAGTTTTGGGGGTCCTTCATGGCGCACTGTAGCGCCAGGGTGCGGGCGGAGTTGGCCAGTTTTTCCTGCTGGTTGCAGTCCAGATGCAGGCGGACGATGGTGCTGTTGGACATGATGGTGCTGGCCACCACGCTGGTCGCCTCCGTCGGCGTGAAGAGTGTGAACCAGTTCTGCATGATGTTGTCCAGAGCAAACACACCTGGAAAGAGAGGAAGAGAAACGTAAGCTTTGACTGGAATTGGGATTTACCCATCAGAGGGACCAAACAGGTAGCTTTCACACTTCATATTCCAGTAGACTCGTAGCAAATGTTACAGTTTTAGTCCCCAATGAACCATTTTCAGCTGGTACGTTTTGTGTTTAGACTGCATTTGTAAGACAAACCTGTTTACCCCCTTGCCTGTGGTGGTGATGACCCAACAGCTACTGAAGAAAACAAAACAAAAACCTCTGAACAAGACACTGAGGGCAAATTTCTTCCTCATGAAATGGAGTGGCATCAGATTTTAGAAATTGTAGGTAATCCTCTGCATTCTCTGTCTGACCACGAACCATTTCTCTAACATGCGCATTTGTTTTGGTTGTATTTACCCAGAATGCCCTGCACTATAGTCCACTTCCTGCTTTGGAGTGGTCTCCGGCCCATTGGACATTCACATACGCATTCGAATCGTAGCAGAATTCTTTAAACCAAGTGTGGACCGAGGTTTGTAGGTGGACCAAAGTTAGCTTTTTTGGTCCACATCAGAGTTTGATTACTCATCCAAACCTTCCCAAACGAACCGGACTTTCTAGGCTAACAAGCTGAAATTTGACGAAAGCGGACTAAACAGGGCTGGTGTGAATGCATCCTCAGATTCATTAGCATTCAACAATGTCATGGAGCAAAGTTTGACAAAATAAAGTGTTTTTACCATCCTTTGTGGTGTTCCTCATGGTGTAATCTATGGTCCTTCCCTTTTTTCATTTTCCAACATCTTTCTTATGAACTGCGAATAAATGACTATAAGGTGGAGCAGTAGATTGCACTTTTGGCTCACTTATAAATTGTCCTGGTTTCAAATCTGAGCCAGGTCCTTTCCGTGTGAAGGTTTGTATGTCCACCACATTCATGGTTGGCTTTTCTCAGGGGACATGCAGGTTTCATAAAGGGACCCAGCTTTTGCTGACCGACCCTCTGGATAGTGATCCAGCTTACTGGACTCAATTAAAAAATATTGTCTTTTATTATATTCTGTTTTGGATGCTGACTCACAGTCAGCAAAATCATACAGCATAATCTTGTGTTTTGACAATCACAAAAATATCCAAAGCAGTCTCTGGTTTTATGTTTCTTGCTCAAAATCCACTTAGACCTAAAACGGTAATAGTGCTCAATTTTCATTATCAGAAGAAGATATATAATAAACTTTAGAAAAGTAGAATTTGTAGATTATGTTGTTGGTTTCCTAAAAGGCAATTGCACTAAACTGAGGTCAAAAACAAACCAATGGGAACTCCAAGTGAAAAAACAACAGCATGCTAATCAAATTTCAGTGCAAAGCAGTAACTTCAACAACAACAAAGCACTCACACAGGCGTCTTACAGTGAAAAGAAATTTCTGGAAAAATTCCAAGAAGCAAAATAAAGAAATCTTTATTATTCCAAAAAGGGCTAGATCTAATTAATGAGCGTTAAAAACTAGAGAATGAACAAAAACCTTGTTGGTTTTAAATCAGTTTCCCAAAAAAAAAATTTCTTTTTACCTTCTAGTAATCTGATTTTCTGTCTGTAATTTTGTGACCTCTGACGTGTCTCCACTCTGTATCCCCAACTGGAATGTTCTCAATGCTTCCATTGAACCGGCCCTGGCTCAAACAGGGACTCCTTGTCACTCCCCTTAACGTTCACATGAAATCATCTGGGAGGAGGGCTTCCCTCCGGACACCACTTCCTGCCTGCTTCAAGGAATTCTGAGTCCAAACATAAAGACCCACTTAATCAGCCGACAATGTTCCGTAATTACCGCCCTGCTGGTCACTTCTCAACCCTCGCCAAGAACCCCCTTGAACCCGGCTTGTAATGTGGCGCAGGGTCCGGCCTGCCGGTTCTTGAAAGTAGCTCTCATCACCAAGGATGTGAGGACACGAACACCCTGAATTATTTCTAACAAGATGTTTGCTTTTCCTATCTGTCAGCAGCCAGATGGCACAGCGGGCTTGTTGAGCTTTTTGTTCCAGTGGTTTCCATCAAACAGCAGCAGCAGCAAGGCTCGTATGAAAAGCCAAAACAGAGCAGAAGTCATCATACCTGCATGTACGACCAGGAGTCGGGCAAACTTACACCTTACAGTTTGGTATTAGACATTTAACTCACTTATAGACGACAATCAAGAATTCAAATGTTGTGTAGTCTTGGTTAAAGTTTCTCAGCTAGTATATTATCAATTTAAAATATAGTTGCCAATGTCTGAAAAATATGAAATTATGTGGCAAAGTTGAATAATAACAAAAACAATAAACACGCTTATAACATGCTGGCTGGACTTTTCCTCACTTTTCTAGTCCTTTTAATTTAACAAACAGTGTAACATTTTCATTACATCAAAGTAATTGAAGAGTAAATCTTCCCTTCTAACTTCCTCCCTTATGATCTGTAGCTGCATTCCCAAAACTTTGTTGATATTCTATTAATGTCAGGAGAAACAACACAATTTCGCAATTGCAGTGTTTCCATTAAATAAGAAACGTGATTAAAATCATACATGACTTTGTTCACACAATAAGTCGCATCATGGTCCTTTAGCTACTTCCTGTCATTGTCTTTGTGGTTTGCACCAATGGCAACGCCCGGTTGTTGATCATGTAACTCGTGTTATGCTCCATTGCAGTTTTACAAAATTAACCAATTACAGAAAAAAAAAACCCTAGAACTTTTTAGTGAACTTTTCATTTTTAATTTGCGAATTTATTTCCAAAACGTCAAATTGTGCAATCGTATGGTCAATGAAAACGCAGCCACCGACTTCCTCCTTTAAGGATTTCTTTTGGCGGCAGAAAACCAAACTCACCGACTTCAGTGGCGCAGGTGACGAGCCAGCGCACCATCTCTCTCCGCCGCCAGTTCAGCGTGGACAGAGTCAACCTCATCACCTGCGGGACACAAGAGGTTCAGCAGAGGGTCGGCGCGGCGACGGGTCGCGTGTGCGTTTCTCTGCGTGTGCGCCGCTTACCTGGAGGCCCAGCTCCAGGGAGACCTTGAGCAGCGTGAGGTCCGGCAGGCTGTCCATCAGCGTGGCGATCTTGAAGGCGTCCTGAGCCAGCTTGAAGATGTGAGAGGAAGAGTGGATGTTCTTCTGGATGGACTCTAACACTGTGTGGAGCTTGCAGGCGTCACCTGAATAACACGGCAAAGCGAACAGGAACATGGTGGGTGTGTTACATCCAAGTTGCCAAACCTTCTTTCTGAACCAGCATCCTTTTTCTGTCTTTTGTTCCGCACTTTCACAACCTGTCGCTGCATTTTTCTCAGCATCTTCACACCCATGCTCTGACACAGACGTCTGGTTTTCCTGTCACTGTGGTGCGGAGAGTTGAGTCGCAGCTGAGCTGCGACTCAACTCTCGTCGTTTAGTCTTTGCACCCAAAACTTTCCGCTGACTAATAACGTAGAGGTCGTTGTTGAGGAGCAGCTAAAAGCAACGCAGTAATCTCACCGTTTAAGTCACAAAGTTCACAGAATGAGGAAGATGAGGGGGCTCATTCTGGAGGAGAGTCATACAAGGTGGACATCCTGTTAAGTGTGTTTTATCGTGACTTTGTGTGACGAAGCAGTAAAGTGGAAACATAAAGATACGTGATTTCAGCTGCAGGTCTCTTGGCGCTCGTCTCTGACACCTGTGCAGATCCATAAACTGAAGTGTTCTATTTTTCTTCTTTACAAATCAGCCCAAGTTCAGTCAGATTGGATGGAGAGCGTCTGCGAACATCAACTATCAAAAACTCTCAGTTGGATTTAAGTCTGCACTTTTACTGGGCTGTTCAAATACAAACCTTTATAAACCTAAGAGACATTTTTTTTTGCCTTTGATTCAGCTAAAGCTACTTAGTTAGAGCTGGAAAAAAAGACATTTCTAAATTAAAGAGCAATTTTGGGATGGACCTTAGTGGACCGAACAGAGTTCTGCGAGATGTTCAAGGCCAACCCGGTTTTGAAATTCTCCTCAGCTTTATCTCTTCGCCCTTGTGTAACGCTTTAGAGTTAGTGGAACTAATGTTTATGATTAGCACTTTAGCGCACTAGCTTCCGCTAAGTACTGTGTTGGTGTAGCACTTTAGTGAAACCAATGTTTATTACTAGTGCTTTAGCACATTATCTTCTGCCAAATACAATGTTGCTGCATAATTTTACTGCTAGCAGAAATAATGTTTATGATTAGCGCTTCAGCTTCCGTCAAGTACCGCGTTAGTGTAGCGCTTTAGCGTTAGCACAACTACTGTTTGTTATTATCGCTTTAGCATTCACCAAATACCATATTGGTGTAGTGCTTTAGTGTTTAGCTCTATGCTTAGCACAGCTAGCTTTTTAGTTAGCGGTGGCCACCTCTGGTCTAAACCGTAGAGAAATGGAGGTTTGGGTGTTTTGGTGTCTGTGCGTACCTTTAGCAGCTGTGAGCATGGTGGAGGCCAGCTCACACTGCTGGCTCTCTATGTGGCTCAGGGTGAACCAGCGAGGGTAGCGATTGGGCACCACCGACACTATGTGCTGAGGCCGAGACAAGTCAGTAGAAGGGGGTGTGGACTCGAGGACCGGCAACCTGAGAGAAAGGGAAAACTTTTGCTTTAGTACTTCCTTAGATCAAAACACATAATTCCTACACAGGCGGCGACATTTTAATTACGGTAAAGAAGCTATCAAAGTGTAAAGTTCCCTTCAGAAGATCAATCGACAGCTTTCCTTTGTGCACCTGCACACCTGAGCTCAGGTCTGAGCTTCAGGCTGCGAGCTCTGAAAAGCAGATGGGTTTAAAAAGAACAATTAAATTTTTCTGCAGCCCAAATCACAGCTGAAGCTGCTGGAGTTCAATCGTTCGGCTTTTTTTTTTTTTTTCATTACAGAGAAACAAAGCATCAGTGCAGTTTAATATAGGCCAGAGAAGTGGTCAGGGAGAACACCAACGGCATTTATTTATTATTCACACGCTTTTGTAAAAGTGCCTCTCTGCAGTGTTCAATTATTCAGTGAATATTCCAGCAAAAGGAGGTTTTGTCATTAAACAAAGTCTCAGCCAGCTTCTAAATCAGCCGCAGCGTCGGAGCAGAGGAGACCTGGGGGGACGGGGGGACCGACTCACAGCAGGACGCCGATTTCACGTCACAGCTGTACATGCACTCATCGTCAGTTTGGGCTGTTAGTGATGCAATTCAAGCAGGTTGGAGTCACAAAGTAACAATTAATGACAATGACTCTTAAAAACCAGAGCTGGGGGGGAATGGTTGAATGCAGAGAGGATTCCCCAAAACTGAAACATTAATATTTTGGTCAAATGTCCATCTGCATGTTGCACTTCAACCACATTCTAGGGACCGATTCCTTTTCTCCACTTCCGATACCGATGCAGATATCTGAGGTTCGATATCGGCCGATACCGATCCATTACAGAAAAACAGAATTGACTTAAAATCTTTCTCCTTTTTTTTTTTTAAAACACATACATAATAAATGCACTGAATTACAAATGCATTAATAACTCTGCACCAGTACAGCACACTTACACCAATACCTTCACAATCTTGATCAAACATGTAAAAACATCTTTAATTTGTTCACTCAGGTCAATCAGGAGTAGAACAAAAATAATTGGTCAAACATGTAAGAATAAACTGCAATAAACCTTTCAAATGGGTCAGAAAGTGCAATTTGCAAAGTGAAAGTGCAAATATAATGTTAAATAAACAATAAAGCTCGACATAGCTCAGAGCTTGTAGTATAGAATTAGACTGAATAGATCTGTCCTTGTGGCTCATCGTCACTGAAACCCCATCTAGTAATGTTTTCAATATCGACAGATCACTAACACATTCTCCTGCTCCTCCAGACATAAACTGGGATCTCTGACTTAAATTTGTGATAGAAATAGGAAATGATCATCACCCTATGTTCTACCATGTTTTATAACTACGCATTTACCCAACACTCACATCTGGTTTTTGTCCTTTTGTCATTTTTTTGAGTGCCAACAATTTTTTTTGTTGCAGGAAAACAATAAAATCCTTGACATTTGTCTTGACGTTATCATCAAGGTCCTCAAATAATTCTGACGTCAGATAATCCCTGAATGACCATTCGTCATTACTCCTACGAGGGACGAACTTTTGACTGTCAACTGGAGCAAAGAGTGGCAGAGCTGTCAGCAGGGGGCAGTACAGGCAACATCACTCATGGCTTTTAGAAAGTTCCACTTTAGGAAGTCCGAATTTCGGATTATGGAGTTCAAGTGGAGACTCAGACTTGGAAAGTTAACGATGGGTTAGAATTAAGTGGGGATGAAGATAATAATCTGAGTGGTTTCTACCATTTTATGTCCCTGAATTTGTTCTGTAAATGTAGGAAAATGTATAAATCACTTCACTGTTATAGTAGAATGTGATTATTATTGTTATCCCAAACAAAATGGTGATGAATAACCCAATAATATTTATTTATTCCAATGAGCTGTTCGACAACGGCACAAACTGAGTTACCGTATTTTCCAGACTATAAGTCACATCAGTCAGCTGTTTGCTGTTGTGCTACAATGATACAATTAAACCTCTAAAAAAATCTGAAACAGGCAACAAAATTTTTTGGCTGTCTGCTTCTGTAACTGGGTCTGCAAATGACAATAACAGATATATAAATAATTACCGCTGACTGCTTGTCTAAGCCTCATTTTATGTCTCTATGAGTCAGAAAGAAAAGAAGCAACACATATGTTCTCTGTTCAGACTGTTAGCTGCTAGCCGGCGTACGGCTCACCTCATGGCCCTCAGTGCAATGTTGTACGCCAGCTCGGCGTCGTGAGGTAGCAGGGAGGTGAAGAGATACTTGGCAAACGTGTGCATGGGGACGCTCTCTCTGTAGAGGACTTCCCCCAGACCGCTGTAAGGACCAGCTGGAAGAGAGGAGACAAACAAAGGGGGGAACGGTCACAGCCCGGAGCAGACAGGAGCCGCCGACGGGACGCTTAGCGTGCCGACGATGTCGGCAAGAGATTTCGCTGCGGATCAGGTGACGACGTCTCGGACGAACATCAGAGCATGTCCTGACTCTGAGACGTGATATTTGACATCTGTTCATGCAGATAGGTACACATTTGTGCTCAAAGATGTGAAAATACAGTCAATAAACAGGCCAAGAGCAGCAGCATGTTAGTTTCTTATTTCTATGAACATTACAGACTGTCTCTTTAAGAACATGTTTTCCTAAAGAACAGGAAGCTGTAGTTTTCAGAAAATGTTAAATATTGAAATTGGAAGAGTTAAATAGTTCACTGCAAAAACACAAAATCTTAACAAGTCTAAAAAGAGCACAAGTTCCACTGGCAGATTATTTTACTTATAGATAGTACTTTAAAAAATCAATATTAAGGAATTATTGACTTATAATAATATATATGTTGCTGAAAAGTGACTTGTAAATTATTTTGGTTTTATTTCAAGTTCAATAAGATATTTGCACTAGAATACAAACAAGAAAAACTACTTGGTAAGATTTTGTGTTTTTGCAGTGTTGGTTGCTACAATTAGCTGCTGCTAATTTATGATTTCTTTAGTGATTTATTTTATGTCACTCTTACTCTCCTGCCTGGTCTTTTTTGCTGACACAGCAGAAAATATTCAATTACAGTTGGTGTTACTCAGACAGGAGAAACTCTCCATCCTCTGCAAACTGTCCATCAACATCAAATTTATGCCAAAGTTGAATTTTAAACATTTCACACCACAAAAACACAAAATCTTACCAAGTATTTTGGTTTAGTTATTTGCATTTTAATTTCCCTTTAGGATCAAAAAAGTATTTTTGAATTGAAGTTTGTCCTGATGCATAAAACCATAAAACTATCATTGTTTGTGGGCTTCATTACAAGCAGTATCAAGTATAAAGTTCATAATGAGGTAAAGTCCATTATGTCGTGAATCTTCACCTTCTTTTGGGCTGTGGAACAACAAGAAGAAAGGTCAAGCCTGGGGTCAACACACAATACTTGTTAGTGGGTTTTGTGTGAGAGAAAAAAAAACAGAACATAACAGGACGCTTCCTTTACCAGCCATTGTCTAAAAGTTAGCCAAATGCATTCTGTCTTCACCCTTCCCTCGGTAATGTACGAGCAGCCACTTCCTGTGGGCGTCTCCTTCGTAATCACAACCAACCGGGGATAACCGAGCCTCATGTGAGGGGCCGACCGCCTCTATCATTAGTGGGACTGAGAGCAAAGGAGGCTTGAACCGTGACGAGCCACGAGCTTTTTTTAGCTATTGCTGCACACACACACACACCCAGATATGTACACGACGTCAGCAGCCGGTCCTGGCAGAGCAAATGATACAGACGTGTAAATTAGCATTGCAAACACCAGAGAGTGTAAATAAAGGAACGAAGGGAGCACTGAGTTCATGCTAAGGTACACAGACAGAACACAGTGTTTAGACACAAACAGATTAGCAGAATACAGAGCAAACAACATGTTAAAGAAGGTTGGTAGCATGCTAATGTGTGTGTGCAGTACAGTAGGACCGAGGTTAGCTTAGCGTAACAGAAACGTGACAGCGTTTTATACGTACTTTTTGTGACTTTAAGGGTGATCAAGGTGCGTATGGAACCTTGATCACCTTTGCGCAACTATATCAGTAGCTGCGTAAAGGTGAGCCGCGTAATTGTGGAGCTCTTTGGCTGCTTCACTCACCCTCCAGCAGAAGCGTGGCCTGCTTCCGGAGGATCTTCACCAGCGCCTCGTCCAGGTTCACTTCCTGGAGCTTGGCCAATAGCTGCTCTTCGTTGCGACACACCTTCTCCTGGGCGTAGAGGCCGTCCGGCATCGCCCTCTGCTGGCCCAGACCCATCAGCGCCGTCTCCACAGCCAGCGCCGCAAACGTCTCGCCTTCCTCCAGAAGAGGTAGTGGCGGCGGCGTGTAAACGGGGTTCTCCGGCCTCCTGCAGGGGCCCAGGGAGCCTAGTGGGGGGTGGGGAGGAGAAGGGACGATGACTCAGCGAAAAATAAACGTCCCCTCTGGGGTGTGAACTGAGCCACATATTGATAAATATATTGATTCCTTTTCTCCCTGCGCTGTGCGCCTCCTCCTGGGAGCAGTGATCATGCGTTTTAGAGCTTTAATGATGTCTAGGCAGACCTCACCGTTAGTCCCAGGAGAACCCACGCTCCCTGAAGAAAACACACTCTCTCACACACACTTACACCGATAAAAACAATGGCTTTAATTGAAAACCTTCACAGCTACGTTGGCGTTACGAAACTCTTCGTTGTGTTGCAGGTTTTCTTTAGAAAAATTAAAAATTGGGGAATTAATCTCAGAAATATTCCAAATAAAAAACTCTGACATTTCTGAGTTTCAAAAGTCAATTTTTCTCTAGAAAATGTTTGATTAATCTCAACATTTCTGAGTTCTTTTTTTTTTTTTTGGCGGAAATTTACCACAATTTTTTTCTCCCACTCAACTTCCCATGGCAATTCTTTTATGAAGCCCCCTGAACAGCCAGCTTTCATTATCAATAACATATTGTGGGCCTCACGATGGCCAGTCAGCACATGATTATGTCGTTCATTAAATAAAGTTGAACTTTTATTGGGTTTTTTTAGGCCGACCTTAACGGGAATCTAATATTTGGCTGTAAGCCATAATTATCAGAATCCACAAAAATAAATGAAAATGTCCTGTTCTGAAATACAAGGGTAGGAGCTTTAGTGTAAGGAAGTGAAATGAGCGATTAAATAAACTCCTTCAACAGCTCTTAATTTGTAAATGAGATCCTGGATCTCGATGAGACAACCTGTAGAAATAAAAGTTGAATAGATCAAATAAACTAACAATCTTCAGCGAAAAAGCTAAAGTACAATCTCTAAGGTTGAAGACCTCGGATGATCAATCTGACAGTCTGTCCAAACGACCTGAATTCAAGTGTTGAAAGCCTGTAGAGTCTTGATTGACTTGGAAAATATAAAAGCCCTCTCTGAAATGGAGAATAAGTTTGAGATTTTTCTTCTAAAACAACATCTTAAAGCTCAGATCCACCGAGTGGAAACAAACTCTAAACTGCCTAATAATTCAAGGTGGTCTTGAGCGCAGGGGGCGCTTTGTGAATTAATCGTACTTTATACCAGAGACGCGAGCGGAGGGCTGCTGTGACGTCCTGTCTGGCTGTGGCATGTTGAAACTCGTCTGCCTGCATAATTAATGCGTTTTAATTGGAGTGTTTTTCCTGCCGCATCTCTTATTCATGAGCCGGTATCGGAGGACGACTGCAGGCCAATCAGCACGTCTGTGTCATCTCTGCTGATTACGACCCGAGGCCCTGCAGGTCTGATGGGAACGATGCAACCGCTGCAGCGTGATGGTGCGTTTGAGGACGGCTCCATCTGCGGTAAAGGAAAACATCTGGGTGCGTCTAACGGCTCGAGTCCGACAAATGGAAACGTTGTTACCACAGGAGGCGGTGGAGGTGGAGGCCACGATTTCTGGTGTCGTTTCTAAAGAGGTTAACTTTTTTGTGATCTTGTATTTGGTTTTAAGTACCAACAGTGGTGGGCAACGCCGAGTGAAAAGTTAGCTGAACGAACCCTAAAGCACAAATCATAAACATTCCTCTATGCTAAACCGCTACACCAACATGGGGATTAGCTGAAGCTAGTGCTAACCTGCTATCTTCAATTCAAATTATATTTGCCTCTGACAAACTACAGCACTCATGCACCATTTTACTTTAACATAATTTACATTTTCTATAATACCCTTAGACGTTGTGTTTGTATTTATATTTTTTCATCTGGAGTCCGTGTTTTATTTTGTTCCCATTTTTTGCTTGATATAAAGCTATTGGTAAAAAAAAAAGGGAGAATGTGAGGAGAGAAAATGAAAACAGCCGTGTAAACACTCTTCACTCACTTCAAAATAAGAGCATGAATATAAACATCTAATTACTTGACTACTTGGAGCGTTTTGGGGAAATTGTAGATGGTGATTTTAGAGAAGAGTAATGAATTCAACGCACAACTTTTTATGAATTGTGCGATTTGTGAGCTGCAGATTGTCTGGAAAAAAAAATAAATACAAAGTGTCATTCTCCTACTTCCTGTCATCCTCTTTGCATTCATCTATTTCAATACTGCTGGAAAAAAAAAAAAAAAAACACCTCACCCTAGCGCAAAAAAACGTTTTATAGAAGAACGTGAGTGATTTTTTTTTTTCACAATTGCCGTGTTTCCGCTGAGCAAATTTGTTTTCAGAATTTCAATCTGTGCTATTCTGTGCTTAATTGAACCGCAGTTGCTGTTAATCTGTGAGCGTCTACCTGGGAAGTCGGCGGTAGCTCCGTCGTCGCTCCCCTGTCCCGTCTCCAGGAGGGTGGCGAACAGAGTGCCGATGGGGTCCAGAGGGTGGCCCACCCAGCCCTCCAGGTTGGTGACGGATGTTACGCCCCTGTGGAGCAGCTCTGAGGGAACGAGAACACGGACAGCTGAGTTACTACCAGGTACCAGATCAGAATTAGGTATAAACTTTGTGTTCTGAACAAATAGGCAACTTTTACATTGTGTCGATTTGTCACCTAAGATACAAAACCTCCCTTCGCTAAACTCCACATTAGCAAAAGAAGACTGACTGACCTTTTCTGTGGCCGCGGAAAAGTTCCAGCTGCTTCTGCTGCTGCCGCCGCAGCGTGTTGACGATGGCGATGGCCAGCCGCAGCGCCTCTCTGGGGTAACCGTGTGACCGCAGGGCGTCCACTCGGGCGCACGCCGTGGGAACGTTTTCTGAATTAAAAAAAAAACAGCAAGAAGAGACGTTTTTATTTTGACAAAGAAAAAAGTATTTAAAAAAACACTAGTAATTTTGTCTAGTATCTAATGCAAATATCTTAATATGCTAAACTTACTTACAAGTAACTTTTCAGGAAGATATAGGATATTGTTTTAGGTAAATAATTCCTTAATTTTGATGAAAAGTTCTAGTTCCACTGGCAAATTATTTCACTTATAACAAGACATTTCTCCCATGTCGTCAGTGAAATAATCTGCCAGTGAAACTTGTGTTTTTTCAACAACATTAAGGAATTATTGCCATAAAACAAGCTCCTTTATCTACAGATGATTTTGTCCCGTTTGGAACTAGACTGAGCAGACTTGGTAAGATTTTGATCTCACCGTGCCACAGGGGCCACCCTCTGGAGTCAAAGAGGGAGCCGTTGAGGTTGTCGTGGTAACAGTAGTTGTTGTAGTGGTCCTCGGTGATGATGTGCTGCAGGTGGGGGTCCTGCCAGTGCAGGTCGCAGGCCTCGATGGCGCGCGTGAAGACGGTCCGGTGAGGGCGCGTCAGAGCGTCTGCGGAACGGAGAGTTGGAACGCTTCGTCAAACCCGAAGGACTTTAGTCACAACTCGACCGTGTGGCGACAGGAAGTTATCACATTGTTCATATCACAAGTAAAACAGGAAGTGTCAAGACAAGAACCGGCGCAAATAATGGTGCTAATTTGCTAAAACAAGGATAAAAGAAGGGCCAGAAGAAGCTAAACAGATATTGGGAATCGGTTATGTTTTGAAATGACTGGTTCAAGAACAAAACACTAATTAAAATCCAGCAGGTTCAATAATGTTGCTTAGTGTATAAAATATAGAATGATAAATAATTAGAAATATTAAATATTCATCTCACTGAAACAATCCAAACTAATCATTTTCAGGTAAATGACCTTCCTGCTCAAATTAAGTGCTTAAACAAAATATGCAAAGACAATTAGAAAAAAATTAATTCTCGCCAAGTCTTCTTGCATTTAACAAACAGAAATAATTTTGGTGATTCCATCTGACCCAAGACAAGAAAAATGTCATCTGATTTAACTTCAGACAATGAGGAAAAAAATCTGTCTTTTTATTAGGCGTATGAAAACTTTTTCTAAACGTTACGTTGCACTTCATTTTCAAAGGTGTGCCGTTTGAATTTCAAGCACTTTCCAAACCTTGAAAACAGCTGAATTAAATATATTTTCAAGTGTTTTATGCAGCTGTACGAACCATGTTGCAAAATAAGCAATAAAATGATGTATGATTTGTGCTGATATCGTATTGGGTTGATATCGGTATCGTATCGGAAGTAAAAAGGGACACACTATTAGGAACACAACAGTAAGATGTCAGAATGACACAGAGCTGCAGAGACTGTCTGGATAGAAACACCAGCAGCAATAGAAATCCCTCTTTCCTTCTTACAAACATTATTTTTCTACCTGGGAAAAAGGGAATTTCTCTGATGCAGTGAAAGCGAGTGAAATAAGAAAAAGCTGCAGGACCTCCACTGTGTTATTAGGCTCATTCTATTAGCCACGCTGAAAGGGTAATAAGGCTCGCAGGCTCTGAGACTGAAGCATGGAGACTTGATTAAAAGAGAGGTGGAGGAAAGGGGAGGGCTCAACGGCGTTACTACGGCAGCAGAATGACGGGAGCGAACTGGAGGGAAGGAGGGAGAGAGAGAGCGTGGAGATAAAACAGAGGAAGGGCCGCGCTCCTCTCACCTGGATTGCCAGGAGGCCCCTGGGGCAGAGCGTTGGTCAGATTGATCAGCTCGCTGCCATGGTTACCATCCTCCAAGGGACACACGTCCACGCCGTTCCACCTGCGGAGCTGCCGGAGCCACGAAGACTTCTGCTCAGGCTTACAGTGCGGGTTCAGGACGATGCACATCCACAGGGCGCCTGCACACACACACACACACACACACACACACACACACACACACACACACACACACACACACGACCCGAGATCACACACTCTGCTCCGAGATGCAAACTGCTGAAGGAGAGTCGGCAAAAATACAACAACGGATCAGTGGAAACCCGAATGAAAAGCAAATATTGTGACGTATGGAAGCAAAAGGAATTGTTATTACTGTGTCAATGTCAGAGTGACGTTGATTCTTAAGTTAAGTTCGTATAATGCAGATGTGAGATGGCAAGAAGACGGCGTATTAGAGTTAATGTAGTTAAAAAATATATTAGAGCATTTTTAAAAAATAGTACATTTCTGCCAAAAATCTAAAAATTTTCTAGAAAAAAAATCGTGGAAATTTATGAGTTTGAAAAGTAAAAAATTTGCGAGAAAATTTTTTGAAATTTTGTCATTTGACATTTCTGGAAAAGCTTATTTGAACATTTTTGAAAACAAAGATGTTATGATACGAGAATAAAGTTGTAAAGACTTCAGAATAAAATTGTATGACAATCAAGTTATAATATACAGCCAGAATATAGTTGTAATACCAGGAGAATGAAGCAGTAATTTTATGAAAGCTACTACCAGAAAAACAAATAAAAATTAAATTAAGCAATATTTTATTATTCTCGTAATGTCGTACAACTATTTTTGTCTCATTACAACTTTATTATTGAATCACTGATGTTTTACTGTTGTACAACTTCTTTCCTCATAATATTATGACCTTATTCTCGTAATTAAAATAAAACTTTTTCCTAGCCCGGCCCAAGTACTCCGTCGTGTCTCTGCTGCAAGTTTGTGTGAGTTTCAGATAAAACCTTTTGCTAAAGAAAAATGCTTTTGTGGGAGTAAAATGGTTCATATGAAGCCAAATCAGCTGCTGTTCAAAGTTAAAGCATGAGTCTGACCCGCCTCGTCCCATTAATGCATCATCGTGTTACTGCAGAGGATCGCTGCGCTGAGGCCTGGAGGCGTACAGGAATACCTCACACCACTTTATGTCTACATACCGCACACAGCATCTTGTTACAAATGGATGCTAAGACAGAAAGTTTTTCAATTACGCAGTAAAACAAATTAACAAGCTTCATCAAACGCACCAAAATGCGTATTGATTAGTCTTATCGAATCGATTGATGACGCCGAGCAGCGGTAATGTTTTACAGCAGCTGCCATCCGGCGTCAGTGTCCGGGCGCGGCCACATTTCATCGCCGTACCTAGCTCGTCCCACAGCTGCCTGTACTTGTCAGTCATGGTGGTCCCCTGCTGCCTCCACAGCGCCAGTCGGGGGTCGCCCATGAACTGCTCTGTGATCAGCGTCAACATGCGAGCGCCGTTGGAGTCCCTCATCCTCAGCATCTCTCTCACCTGGAGGGCACAGGGGAGTTCAGGTCACATGGAGACATGTAGTATTCTTTTTTTTTTTTTTTTCTTTTGGCGAAAAATCTAATTTTATTTAAAAAAAAAATGATTTGGAAACAGGACATATGAGTGTAAATAAAAGAAGAATCTGCATGGCTTCAGTTAATGAAGGTGAAATCACCAAAATGAAGGAAAAATAGAAACAGGATGAGGAAAAGGAGTGACTGGGTCAGAAAGTTTGTAAAATAAATCACACATGATAACAATCTTACTTAAATAGAATACAACAGCCATCATTCATAAAACATTCACCACTAATTGCATATGAGAATGATATTTGGTTGCATTGATTCTCCATCAGACTACTGGAAAAAAATTAGCTTAAGTAAAAACTTGTAAAAAGACCTAAAATATGTACCAACAAGTAGAAATACTGGCACAAAGTACAGGGGAAAAATGCTTTAGAAAGCTAAAAAAGAGTTTAGAAAACAAAACTTTAATCACTGATTAAATTTGACAGAAACAGAATATTGTCTTTTGCGTCACAACACACATCACAAGTTATAAAAGAAGCACAGACATCGACACGCATCCTTGTGGTATCCCACATCTCTGTAGCTCCATTATTACCCAAAGAAAGACACAAAGAGGAGAGCCCTAATGTGGCTCTATGGTCGGTACCTTGCTGAACAGCAGGTTGAGCTGCTTTCCCGAGCCGTGGTACCCGCCCTGGGAGAGAAAGAGCTTGACCTGTTCCTGGACCTGTTCCTCATCCAAATGCCAACAGTTCTCGTCGTCCACGCTCGCCCCCGCCGTCGGATCTGGAGCTCCTACCATGAGTGAAGAGAAGAAAAAAGCAAACAGACAGTGGTTAAGCTCTCTCAAGTTGTTGATTATTATTATTATTATTATTATGTGTGACAGAATGACATTTGAAACATGTGAAGAAAATGCTAATTTCAGCCACCTTCAGCTATGCTAGCTAATACAAATATTGAAACCAAGTAAGACTTTAGAAAACAAAAGTTTAATCATTTATTAAATTTGACATAGCTGTGTATGTAGTTAGCTAGCAAAGTACCTATCTATCTATCTATCTATCTATCTATCTATCTATCTATCTATCTATCTATCTATCTATCTATCTATCTATCTATCACATGTCTTCAGAATCCCATCAGGTTCCAGGGATCTTAAGCAGGTGGAGTATCTCTTGCTTTCTCCTCACTTGACCTGGCTGGACATGTGTTGAATTTTGAGATCTGGACAAGTGAAAAACCTAAGAGCAGAATCTGCCCTTCAGCTGGATTTTTTTTTTGTTTGTTTGTTTGTTTGTTTGTTTTGTTTTGTTTTTAGGGAAATTTGAAATTCTTACTTAACAGTACAGATTATATACAGAAATTTGTATTTAAACTGCTTTTTTTAATGTGCTCCAATCAAACAGAATGCATTAATGTGTGCTCGGTCAGCTTAAACACTGATCAATAGCATTAACCCCACGACTAAAGCCAGCCCAGAAGAGCAACTTTTGGAACACTTAACAAGCGTCTCTTGGGAAAACTGAACGCTGTAAAAAGGTTCGACCACAGAGAGAGTGAAAGTAGCTAGGCAGAAATATGAAGTGAGAAACTGAAGCCTGAAGTGCCCAGAACAATCAGGAAGCTGCAAGCTTATAAACAGACTCATGTTTTCAGTCTATAAAAATTGATTCAAGCGGCTAAATAGTTATTACTGTGACGAGAAGCGTGTGAACGAGTTGCGTTATGATTTTACTTTATAGCTTATCCTAAAAACGGAGACAAAAACTCAGACATAATTTAATTGTTCAGGTTCAGGCCATTATCCCAACTTCTGTGGTAAGCAGATAAGAAGCTGTTCTGCTTATTCTGTAAAGAAAACCAAAAGCAGGTTTTCTTACGACGTCACCCACCAGCTGTGCCTCGACTGGTACGAAACAGTACAAACATGAAAACAAATACCTGCGTCAGCTTGACTGCATGTTTGTACGCATATTAAAAGTTCAGCCTCTTGTTGGCCCCGAGGCCCCAAACGGCCCCTCCACTCACCATGCACCTGGTTGATCTCGGAGTTCTGCGACAGTATTTCGTCGGCCAGCTTCTGCGCCGTCGGCAGCACGTCCGTGTGATGCACCGTGATCAGGTACTGGACGAACTTCTGCAGCTGGTCCCTGTTCATTTGGAACAACGTCTCTGAGATGGGCAGGCGCAGCTTGACCTGCTCGGGCTTCCGTACCCGGTAGAGTGAGAGCGCCACCACGTGGGCACAGTAGAAGATGTCCTTGTTGCCGCAGCTGCATGTCACCGACGTGATCTTGCAGCGGTCGAAGCTGACGCTGACGTTGCACAGCAGCTCCGGCTCGGAGGACGTGGCCGGTTCCCGGACCGTCCCGCTGAGGTGGAAACCTGCACAGAAACATGTTCGCCGTCAATCAGAGGTAATGAAATAAAGTTTTATGACTTTCAGCTATTTCAAAACCCATTGTGGAGTTAACTGGAACTTAATAATGAAGATAAGCATCATCAGGCGCTGCAGGTTTTGTGGAGATGTACCAAGAGATTTTAGTTTTCAGTGTAACATCAACACTGTTCAGTGTGGACACCTCGACTGAGTGAAGAATAGGACTTGGAGCCAGACTTTTTCAGTATTTCTAAGGTTTTTACAAATAAAGTCAAAGGTAGCACAAAAGGTAAGAAAAGAAAGCTCCAGTTTCTCAAGAGCCATTTTGGGCGGTAATTCAGTTTGTAGTTTACCCAATTTTCCGAGCTCAAAGGAACACAGGAAGTGCTAAACGTAGACCAGAGCAGCTGCATTTCCATTGACCATCAAATTGCACAAATTGGGATTACGAAAATAATTTTGTGTAATGGAAACACGGTGATTTACAAAAAAACTCATGTTTTTTGCTTAGAAAAAGGTCATATCGAAACTGGTGTATTTCGCAAAACGGCAAGGAAATTCTTTATTTGTAACACATGAGTCACGTAATCGACAACTGGATGTTGCTACTGGAGAAAAAGACAAAGAAAGCAACAAAATGTCAAGAGGATGATGACATGGGATGTTATGCTATTGTGAAATTGTATGTATTTTATTTTATTTTTTACATTAGCAGAATATCAACATAGTTTTGAACACATTTGTAATGAAAACGCAGCTGGCATCAGCTGGAAATATTCTAATCTCTTAGCACCCAAAGGTGAGTTAACACTTCATCGGCGCAGACAAAGGGTCTACATAGCATGAGATGGGTAACGTTTTCAGGTTGTTGTTACATCATTTTAGCGCTTATGTTAATATATGTATAAGGCACCTCAGAGACATGGAGCTTATAAAGAAATACATTTGTGGAACTGCCTCAAATATCTGTTGCAGCCTGACGTAGCCCGGGACCAAACTGTGTAAACTGCATAGGAATAGTGGAGCAATATTTACTTCCTCCTCAACAGAAATATCACAAAAAATTTATTTACCGAGAAATTTGAAGAGCCAATCAGATTCAGACTGAACATTGCTAATATGATATTACGTTCATTATTCACTGATCATCCCCTCACTTCACCGTTAACCTGTCTGTCTGAAAGCGTGCCACAGAAACACACACACTCTCATTTACTTTTCATTTCCCTTTCACAACACCTCTAATGCTTGCCTTTCCCTAATTGCCTCCTTCCTCTGTCAGCACCGACAGGATCATTTCACCAGCAGCACAAAGTCCTGCTATTAAACTGTCAATCTTTGGCCTATAGAAGTTTTTGTGAAGAACATTCACATGGAGGCGAGATTAAACCGACTTCTCAAATCCTGTATATTTGGGTTTCAGTCGGGAATGTATCGTAAACCTGACCAGGGCATCGGTTTTCACTTCAAACGAGCCGCAAGCGAAAATGAGATTGAAATATTAAACTTGGAAAGACACGGCAGATGGACAGGCGTTGGCAAAGAACACCATGACAACAACCACTTCTATAAGCAAACCCTGGAATAGACAACCTGACAGGGTTCGTGGGTTAACAGATGGTCTCAGAGGCACGGTGGTACACACCGTAGGAGTTCATCGTCCACAACCAGCCTGTCCCCGTCTCAGGTTCGCAGCACGGCGAAGACCAACAAGTTCGTTCTGCCCAACGAGAAGCGTAGCACGCAATAGTCGCTTGAGTCGCAGGAGCGGGATGTGCTTCTCGCTCCCCGCTGTCGTCCACGCAGCGCGGCCAAACGAGAGCCTGATGAGCTACGAAGCCAAGACTGTGACAGCTGACAGGCGGCTTTATTAGGTGGCCGTCTGAGCCAAAGAAAATGGAAAGCTGCGTCAAAGACTCGACCTTCTGTCAAGTCGGTCTACGGGGGAGGTTTAAATAACACGACTGCTGTTCTCACAGGCGAGAACCTCTGCTGTGTCTTGAGAATGTGAAACTCAGACAGGCTGGTCTTACAGCAGTACTTTAGTGTGATCTACTGAGAATATCACACTTCTCTGAGTCTTTACTAATTATTACCTCAGACATTTTGATTGTTGTTACATTTCTGGGAGTAAGGTACTTCAAACTCAGAATCTCTAAATACAAGAAGGTTTGTGGTTATAAATAGCAAAATGGAAGAAGTTTAAAGCAGTATGTATCCCTTAGCAAGGCTTCTCACAACAGAAAGTCAACAGGTCTAAGTGCAGTATTGGACAGATCAGCTAAATACCACTGCTAACCCGTGGTGTTTAGCTATTCACAAATCTGGAAATCTGGAACAATCAAGAAAAATGCAAAAATGCTGAAACACTGACTTCCAAGGCTAAAACCCCACCTGTTTATCATTCCCATTGATTAGTAGTAACTAGAAGATTGATCATTATATTTGATGTGTATTTGCTTGATGATTTTGACAAACTGTAATGTTTATTGCTTGTTTCATAGTTGCTAACTCTATGATGTTTTTATGATGCAAGAGGACTTTGAACGGCTGAATTTTGCTCCACAAATAAACTTGACTTCTATTTTTGATATCATATCTTCCTAATGAGTAAACTGGGTGATTGTTGCAGAGTCCTGTACTGGGTTTTATTACTATTTATACTAAAACAAACACACTGTTCGCATATATGAGCTCCAGAACCTGAACTGGAACATCAGGTCTAATTTCCACTTTGCTCACATCTTCTCCAGTGTGTGTGTGACACCCGGCACATAGCTGACACATATCCATCCCAGTGTTGTGGAAGAATCGCTGTAAGCAGAGTGGGTGTTTTGTCTGCAGACGCGACGCACACCAAAGCCAAACCAAACGGGAGCGGAAGGAGTCGATATCTGAGAGCGAAACCCCGTGTAGAAATGGAGAAAACACCGTTTCACTTCTTACAGCTGCTTTTCCTGCCAAGCACACACACACACACACACACACGCGCGCGCGCGCGCGCACCGGACCACACTCTACACAACCGCCGGGTCCACATCCTGTAACGCGGAGACAAACACAGCAGCGTCAGCGGCGTGGCCCCGCCCCGGTCATGCCTGGCCTACAGCTGAACCTCTGACGTAACAGAAAGAGAGACAGCGACTCGGCTGGAGGAAGGAGCGCCGCTGTGCCGCTGGAAAAAAAAAAAAAAAAAAATTGCTATGCCCTCAGCTGAGTGTGAGAAAGCACATGTAGGAGCGTCAGAACTGGCTCCGAGCCAAACCCCTGAGCTCAGCATTTTGTAATGCACTTTCTTTTCTCTCTGTCTACGCTTCACAGCTTGCATAATTCAGCTGTGCGCTCCGCGTAGCAACAAGAGTTAACCCCTTACACCCCGCTGCAGCCCGACACCACACAGGCCCGACTCGGTATGGCATTTGCATATCGTGATAACGCTTTCAATTGGCGATACCACGTATACTACTTACTGCTTTATGTTCAAAACCTGCTCTTAAAACTATTTTTGTTTTCTTAAAATAAAATAAATAAATAAATAAATAAAAAATCAGGCTAAATATCACACGTTGAAAAGTCGCTAAATGTCTCGGAAACGTTAAAACATGAGTTCATCACTTCTTTTATAATATATTTTATAATATATGAAGATCCTTTACTAGCCTCAAGTCTTCTTAAAAATGTCTCCACAGAATCTCTACTCGGTTCGGTATTCGCAAATTCTTCTATTTGCGGATCTTTTCAGATGGATAACTAAGGGTGTTTTCACACCTAATGGTCGGTACATTGGGGACCAAAGTTGCAACATTTGTTACAGTTTCAGCTGATGCGGTTCGTTTTCACATGGCGTTGTGTCAAACCATTGAAAAACCTGTTCCCCTCCTCGCCTGTGGTGGCGCTGCATCAAGAATCCCTGAAGAACACAACACAACTTTCTTCTTCACGAAATTTAACAAAAATGGAGTGGATATTTTAGCAGTTGCAGGATTTTTGTTTTGTCTGTACCAAAAGACCAGAAGTCATTTTTCCTGATTAGCACAAGACTTCTGCGTTTGTTTTGGTTGCGTTTACCCAGAATGCCCTGCACTATGGTTTGCTTTCCTGCATGGTCTCCGGTCTGCTTGGTATTCAGATATGCATATGAATGGTACTAGACTGGGGCCTAGGTTGAAGAAATACTAGAGTTTGCCTTTTTGTTCTGCATCAGAGTTTGATTGCGCATTCACTCCTTCCCAAACAAACCAGACTATCTAGAACAGGGGAGCCCAAAGTTGGTCCTCGTGGGCCGGCATCCTGCGTGTTTTAGTTCTCTCCCTGGTTTTATGCACCTGGGTCAAATAATAGCTCATTAGAGGCCTAAGAAGAACATTGACATGCTGAAAAGGTCGTTTCTACTATCAGGGAGAGAACTAAAACATGCAGGATGCCGGACCTCAAGGACTGACTTTGGGCGCCCGTGATCTAGACCAAAGAAGTAGAGTTCTTCTGTCTAGATAGATTCAGTGGACTGCTAGTTTTAGGTCTTTCTAGATATGTTTCTTGAGAAGGAACCCTCAAGACACTTCTGAAGCAACCTCTTTGTTTTCTTGGCTGTGTTGGAGGATGGATGGTTGCCTCACTTTGAGCTCTGGAGAGGGTTTTACAATCTGACTCTCAGGCTAAAATGTTCTGTTTTGGCTTCAGAAAATGTTGTTTATTGAAACAGCTTAGATAACCCCACACTAATACAAGCAACTAGTTTCCCCATTTCACCCCTCCCTTCTCATTCTTCACCCCACTCCCACCATTTCCATTTTCCCAATGGGGGCTAAGGATATCTAATTATGTCTGAGTGGGAACTGGAAAAAAAGACAAAGAGAAGGCACCGCTGGCTTCGTGCAACTCGCTGCAGGCCTTCTTGTCCGTTTCTTGTGTGTTTCCATAAGCACCGCAAAAGACTTGGCGTAGCTACCGCTAGTATTTTGGGAATTTTATACGGGGATGTTTACAAGAAACTTCAGAAATGACA